AAGCGTTTGCATGGTCGTTTTCATGAATGACATAAGCTCCATCATACTTTGTTGGAGGGTAAGCATCATAGTTTCCATTTTGCTGTGTGGCTGTTCTGGGGCCTGTTGAGCGCTTTGAGAGTTAGGCTGAATTGGAATTTCTCTTCCAGATCGTAGAGCATCGGCGTAGGAGAAGCCGTTGGTGGTGTTTAGTGGACCGAATGAGGATCTCGCAGCTTTGGCAAAAAAGACGTCTGGCGTAGTTTTCTGTGAATTTTGGTTTCGCGTTGCGGTCGCTTGACGCATGCGACTCTTTAACTTCTTATACACCATACATCCTCTATAGTTTGCTGTATGGCTGCCTCCGCAGTTTCCACATTTCTTCACGGTACTGTCCTTGTTTGTAGTGCATCAAGCGGACTTGTGGGCATCCCCACAGACTACACAGACAGCCCGAAGTGTGCAGTAAGACCTTGTGTGTCCATACTTTTGACAGTTAGTGCATTGCACTGGACCGTTTCGTTTATGTGGCTCTTCAACAGTGATTTTCCGATGCAAAAGATATTGCACGTTGTAGATTGGGTGGACTTCGTTCTTCTTCAGCGACCTGCTTTCTGGCTCGAGCTGGACCTTGAAGAGGGGTTGTGGCTTTTTATCTTTATTTAGAATGTTAATAACATTCTTGGCGGCGAAGCCTTTTTCTTTAAGGGCGGTTTTAATTTCCGCGGTGGTAACATCAGGTTCTATTCCCTTTAGTACCACTTGCGCTTAATTTGGATGTAGCGATCCATTCCAGTCTGTGTGGCCGTGGCCGCTTTGGCACTTTCCGAAGTTGTTGTTTTTGTACTCGCTGTAGTCGTTGACGTCGCGGTACTTTGAGTTGCAGTGGTTGTCGCTGTGATTGTAGAAATTGTAGCACTGCTGGTTGTTGTTGCGAAATTTGTTTCCGATATTCGAGGGGGGTTTTACACTGCGAACTCCATGACGCGGGAGTCAGAGTGAGCAGAGTGGGTGCTCTTTGGGTTTCAGCGGTCAGTAAAGCCGGGTTGCTCTTAATCGACACTTCGGTATCGCGGGTTGAAAAGTAGGAGTAGAAGCCGTTTCTTTAGTTCACTGAACTTCTACGCTCGTTCTTTTGATCGTTGCTCATTGTGCTGATTGCGTAGCACTTAATTTTTTTTAAGCAATCCACTAGTTTAGGTTAAGCACATCACAACTGTTATAAAAAGCTTGTCTATTGCTTTTAATAAATTGTAGTTCAGCGTCTTTTCGGTTATATTGGGTTATACCAGTTTTTATACCCTTACAGAGGGTATTATAATATTGTACAAAAGTGTGCAACGCAGTGAAGGAGACATCTCCGACCCTTTAAAGTATATATATTCTTGATCAGGATCACCTCCTGAGTTGTTATAAGCATGTCCGTCTGTCTGTTTCTACGAAAACTAGTCTCTCAATTTTAAAGCGATCGACATAAAACTTTGCACACACCCTTCTTTCCTTTGCACGCAGTATATAAGTCGGAACGGCCCGGATCGACCGACTATATCCTATAGCTGCCATATAACTGATTGATCGGAAATGGTACCATATAACTTTGGTGTTTTAAGAGAAAGAGAGTTCAAATTTTACATGAGTGCTACTTTTGGCAAAATAATACGACATGCCAAATCATAAGGATCGGCCGTCTATATCTTATAGCTGCCATATAACTGAACGATCGAAAATGACCCAACTTTCGTGTTTTTGAAGATAGAAAGCTGAAACTTAGTACATATTCTATTTTTGAATAGAATCAGTTAATCCAACCTACCAAATTTCATTAGAATCGGCCGACTATATCCTATAGCTGCAATATAACTGAACGATCGGAAGTGGTATTTGGTAGAAATATCAACTTTCGTATTTTTGAAGATAGTTTTTAAATAAATGAAAATTTTCAGAAAACAGCTAAAGGATAAAGTTAATTTAATAATAATATCCAATAAAATTGAACTATTGTGTATCTTGCTTAATTGGCGTTAATTTCCATACCAAACAAAATTATAATATCTATCTATATATGGTTTGGTTTGAAGTTAATGCTACATATAAAAAATGGATATTGAATAAAATGAGACGCCATCCCCTCTAATAACATTTAAGGTAAAAATAAAACATAAAAACAATATTGGAAGAGATATCGCGTGTGGGAGTTAGAAAAAAAAACTACTCCATATTTTTAATTAAAACATAAAAATGTACAAATTATTATTGATTTATTAAATTTTAAAAGCTGTTTCAGAATATATGTTCTATTGCGTTTGCTGAAATCAGTGTGTAAACTAGTTTTTGATAAGTAACTTCTATCTGGGTGGCTTGTGACTCGTATTGTTTTATTTGACAATTTGGATTTTATTTAAATATCTAAAGAAGAAAATCATTTTAAAAATGAATGTTTGCACAAATTATAGTGCTTATCAAAAGCTATGCGATTCACTTTTTTTAAATTAATTAAAAAAAGCGTTGGCATGTGATTGTTTTGGTTTAAATTAAATGTTTTGGATATTGGCCATATGTAAAAACAATTAATAGGTTTGCTTGCAACCTAAGGTTTTTTGCTGCACCACAGTCAAAGAAGTTGAAAAATTATTCGTTTTTCTATCACAAAACAGCAATCTTTGTGATCGATGACAAAGATAGATCTTCCGTTTTACAGAGATAGTAAAAACGGAAAAATACTTCTATTGATTTGATAGTTGCGTCAAATCATTTCTACACAGTTTTTATCAGGGACCATAAATAATGATTATTCTTATGATTTTTACTTTAAAAATCACAAAATAATAATAATTCTCTGAAAGAAAAAAAAAATCAGAAAATAATCATTATTCTATTATCGAATAGAAAAAATTACAAAATAAACATTATTCTATGATCGAAAAATAAAAATCACAAAATAATCATTATTCTATGATCAAAAAATAGACGTCACAAAATAATTACTATTTTTGATTTTTAGATTTAGACTAGATTTTTTAGGTTTTCTTGATATTTTACTGCATATTTCCTTAGACCACATATACAGGTACCATTTAGTACCATGATTTCTTCTTTAATAGTCTTCCGTACCACTAAAAGTTAAGAAAATTGAATCTAAACTTCTATAAATCATAGAAACCAATTTTTGGAAGATTTTTTAGTTTTCAAGTGAAACTTCTTATGGGAGGGTTCTGAAATCTCGATCGGCAACCTTTTTGGTGACGCTCGCTCTAACATAGTAAGTAAGAGTGAGAGGCCTCCGGGAATCGAGCGAGAGTGAGACGGAAGACTTTCTGTGTTTCATGTCATTCTCTGCGTTCAGGCGGCGTCGCGATCGCGGAAAACAGCTGTTGGTTTCTAACAAAGTGATCATAAGCAACGTATTTTGTTTTTCTTCATTACTTAAATCGAGAGATTTTTGCAAATATGCCGAAGTCGGGTGCAGAAAAGACAAAAACGTGGCGGGAGAACAAACGGGCGAGTGAAGGAATGGATCAGAATAGAAAACGGAAAAAAGTAGAACTGAAATTGAACGAGATAGAAGTGAACGAAGGCAAACACGTGCTAACCTCTTACGTGAACTATTATCAACGACTTCAACTCATCCTTCTCCTGATTGTGATGTAAATAGTGGTGATCTATTACAATATTCAGACTTTAATAAGTTTAAAACTGCACATAACAACTTTCACCGTGATTTTATAAATAATCCATTCGGTTTTACGTGTATGTGATAGACATGGTTTAAAAATGACATTAGGATTTTTCATTAAAAATGAAAAAGAAGATTCCAAGCCATTAACTCAGTTCTTGCAAGTATCTACCACGCTACCATCGATGCAGTTTTCTCACGTTACATCGAAAATTTGGAGTCAAGACACACCATTCATGACACACCAAAATGTCCAAAAACATTTTATTGAATTTTTTATAGTTATTTAATCTTTTTATTTTTAATTAATTAGGAACTTGGAATATCATTTTTTTAAAAAGTCATCTCCATCTACAAAAATTTTATGTATTTCTGAACCGAGCTTTCAAAGAGACTAGTTTTTAACCCTTTCGACCCCAACTTTTTCTAGTTTGGGCGCTATCGGAAGTTGCTTGTGGGCAACGTTGGGCAATGGTGTGTATTAAAGAATAAATTTTGAGTTGATGGTTATTTTTGTTTATTTTCATTTTTTAAGTGTGGTAAGATAAAAAACAGTTTTTATTGTTGTTGCAGCATAGGTATACTTTACATTTAATACATTTTGACAATGGAGTTCCTGTCTTACACAGTCTGCAACGCCCTTTTTCAACAAATACCTCCCAATGTCCCAAGTTGCACCGAAAAAATGACGTTAAAGTCCGAAAAACACGACAAAAATTAGAAAATGGGAGTTTCTTGTGTAAAAATTGTATCCTTTTTGTTAAAATAAATTGAAGATCTATTTTTTTTTTCAAAAGCTACAACATTTAACTATTGAAAAACGTAAAATTTCCGATTTTAACCGATTTTAAAATCGGTTTAAAATTACGCGCTTAGGAATTTTTAAGACCAAAAAAGTCCCAAAAAAACCGTTTTTTCTATATAAATCAGGATTTTGAGGGTGTTCGAAAAATTTCAAACACGGTTTTATACTATATTCGATCTAATGAACAATTCCTACTAGGTCTCTTCAAAAGTTCCAAATCACTGTCGCACTGTGTTATTTTGTGATTTTTATTTTTTGATCATAAAATAATGATTATTTCTGATTTTTATTTTTTCGCTCAGAAAAGAATGATTATTTTGTGATTTTAAAAATAAAACTCATAATGATTATTTCCCTGGTTTTTATTTAACCTCAGTGGCTTTTTTGATTTCATGTTTGAGATATATTTAAAATTTTTCACTGAGTTGGACGCTATTAAGAAATATTTAAAAAACAATTTGCTAAAGTTCCATATTTCGTTGTTCCACATCAAAGTGAGAAAATCGGCGCTAAATTGACGAATATAGAAGTACTGTTGGAGCCTTTGCTTCTGTAATTTGATTTATCCGTAACAAAATGGGTAAATAATTACAAACACACAAGTTATGATTTTATCTAAAAAAATTAATTTGTAGATAACTTTACAAGGCAAGGATCCCACGGGACAAAGAATGAATCGCTTTCCTTGTCATCAAATACTGTAACTTTTCGTTCCGCAACATCCGAAAATGTCTCAGTTAAGCAGTACGAGAACAATTTAAAGAAATTAAACGAGAATGATTTTCAATGTACCAATTTGCGCCCAAAGGACATTGGAAAATTTGGAACATCTCCGAAAAAAATGAAAAAGCGTCGTAACAGTGATACTTCAAGCGATGAGGAACGATGGTTAAATGCAATAGAAACTGGAAATCTAGCGGACGTTGATGATGAAATGAAAAAACTTAAGGATCCAAAATTGATGACAGCGAGGCAACGTGCTATGCACAAAAGAGCTAAAGAAAGTTTTAGTGGGTTTGAAGAAGAACTTATAGCTTTACCCAGTGGATACAAAGAAAAAGATAAGCCACAAACTGAGGAGGACATCAAAAGAGCTACTTTAAAATCACAGAAACGCAAACAGCAAGCAGATGAGCGGCGAGAAAAAGATAAAAAAAAAACAATGGATCGCCTACTAAAGAAACAAGAAACCAATAAACATCGACCGACTTTGCGCAATAAGCAATGCCAAAAATCCTGCGATCCAAAACTTATATATGTTAGTTCAAAAGGCGCAACCTATATATTGATTCCTCCAAATCAAGAATTTCCAATGAAAGCGCAAAAAAGCCTTTTACTACCTCCTCCGAAATTATGTTTTGTTGCCCATTGCGGAAATCCCAAAGCGTACACTTGTTCCAAAACAAAAGTTCCATTATGTAGTCTTGTATGCTACCGAAAAAATCTTTTAGGAGTATGAAATTTTTTCAATATCCTTGCATCAAAATAAATATTTTTTTAACATATGTTTGCTTTAACTTATTATTTTTGATAAGCTGTATAAAAAGTTTTTTAGTAATTAAAATTGTAAAATATTTTCTTCTGATAGTTTATGACGTTACTTTTTCTCAGTAATAGGTCTACGACACTGGTCGCACCCAATACATTGATATGATTTTAATAAATTAGTATAAGTAACGAATAGCAGAAAGTAGGCTGTGAGAATGATGTTTCAGACATTTGAACCGTGTGTGTGTGGCAGAACTCGGGCAGAGAAATTTCCCATGCCCGCGGGATAGGGCCGTGCCGACCACTGGTTTACGGACTCAGCAGGCACAAGCGTCGGACTCAGTCGGTCAACATTGCAATGTCTAGTGGTCATAGCTCGCAAATAACTGTTAACCTTTTTTTTTCCTTATATTCAGTTTATGAGAAGGAAACTTAATCCTTATCCTTTAAGGATATTGCCAATATTGTCCTATGTCCTTATAAAGGATCAAAAGTTATTGTTTGGTAAGTTTTATTTTGAGTGAAAAAAATAAAAATCACGAATAATCATTATTTTTCAGTTTTATTTTTTTGTTCAAGCATAATGATTATTTGCGATTCTTATTTTTTTCGCTCAAAAATAATGCTTAACAATATAAGAATAAATATAATTAAAAATCATCAAGGATATGCATAATGTAAACTCAAAGGAAAAAAACGTGCTAGTCAAGCTTGTTCTATGTTGATTGAAAGTGATTGATTTATTCATTTAAAAATAGCGACAATAATCATTATTTACGGTCCCTGTCAAAAAGTCTTTTCAACACTTTGAATTCTGTTCGATGCACAGTGGTATTACAATGTGTAACTTTTAGAATAAAATTAATTTTTTTTTATACCCTTGCAGAGGGTATTATAATTTTGTCCAAAAGTGTGCAACGCAGTGAAGGAGCATGATATGAGAATGTCCGTCTGTCCGTCTGTCTGTCTGTCTGTTTCTACGCGAACTAGTCTCTCAGTTTTAAAGCTATCGTCTTGAAACTTTGCACACACCCTTATTTCCTTTGCACGCAGTATATAAGTCGGAACGGCTCGGATCGGCCGACTATATCCTATAGCTGCCATATAACTGATTGATCGGAAATGGTATAACTTTGGTGTTTTCAGAGTAAGAGAGTTCAAATTTTACATGAGTGCTACTTTTGGCAAAATAATACGACATGCCAAATTTCATAAGGATCGGCCGGCTATGTCTTATAGCTGCCATATAACTTTTGTGTTTTTGAAGATAGAAAGCTGAAACTTAGTACATATTTTATTTTTGGTCAGTTAATCCAACCTACCAAATTTCATTAGAATCGGCCGACTATATCCTATAGCTGCCATATAACTGAACGATCGGAAATGTTATTTGGTAGAAATATCAGCTTTCGTATTTTTGAAGATAGGAGCTTGGGATTTTTTTTTAGATTTTTCATTGTAATTTATTGGTTTTATTATGATGTAATCATAAGAATCGGCCAACTATATTCGATGTTTGCGATATATATCCGGTTTTAACTGCAAGGGTATATCAACTTCGGCTCCGCCCGAAGTTAGCTTTCCTTTCTTGTTTTTAAATAATTTATTTTCTATTATACTTATTTAAAATTCAGAATAAAGCAAAGTACTGAGTTGTCGAAAATCCGCTGTTGAAATTCTGATAGCGATTTTGCACTTTATTCAACTACCGAGGTAGTGTGACCAAAAAAAATGAAGAAATAAGGTAATACTGAACAGCTGTTGTTTGTAAACAAAAAACAAATAGGCAAAAAGGAATTCAAAACGATTGGATGTTGGTGTTTTGTTTATGTATTTCGCCGCTAAGGAGCTGATTAAGATAAAGAAAACTGGGTCAAAATCAATCAAAAATCGTTTCAATGCCATTTAATGGCAATCCTATATTATGGGCTTCGCCCTGACCGCACTAATTACATAATTTCAATTTATTCTCGCGCGCCGAAAATTTTTCGGGCCGACTATTTCTTCCTTTCATCAATTTTCCCTCCATGTTTCACCTATCGAAATAAATAAAATTAATTCTTTCAACACCCCAAAATCAGCTGTTTATTTTTTTTGATCCGGCAACGCCATTCAATTCGATAAAAATTTTCGTCGTCAGAGTACCGGAAAAATCTAGGAGACAAAAATTTCTTCTTCTTCCTTTGTTTACACCGTTTTTTTATATGGAGTTTGACAGCTGTCACTCGTGCGACAGCGGATTTTCGTCAACTCAGTACTAGGCTTTAGCATTTACTTGCATATGTACAGTGTACTTGAATTTTTTTTTTATTCTGTTTATTTTAAACTTTTTTAATTATTCTTAAGTTTACAAAAATAAAAAACTAAATCAAAATTCGTTGGAATAAAATAACATAAAAACATAAAGCCTAGTACTGAGTTGACGAAAATATATCGACATATATTTTTTTTTAATATTATTATCGTGATATTATTTTTTTGGGCAAAAGTAGTCGACAATGATATTTTTGAATTGATATTTCCGATATTTTATGTTTGATCACTCTTAAGCCAGAAAGTGAAAAGACAAGGTGTAAAAATGAGTTCGACAAAAGACTTTTAGACGGAGGTGAAAGCTAATTCAGCAAAATGCACATTTTGCCTGAAAGTAATAAAAACTAGCGGAAACACCACAAATTTATTATCCCATTTCAAAAATAACCACCAAGCAAACCGTACGGGTTTTTTTAAAATCGTTAAATAAAGATTTGATTTCTAATTAATAATTAAAAGCATTAAATACGAACTTCATGAATTGAGAGTACTTGAGAGTATTGTATTGCTTGAGAGTAGGTATAAATATTAATTGTTTTTCCAATTCACTTTTTAAACAAGAAATAGTCTATTGTTCCACAAAATAGCTCTTATTTGCAGTTCATGCCATTTGAAATCCAATATTAAAATGGTTTTTAACGTAAAATAAAAGAATATCAAAAAAACTCGATATATCGATTTTTTTTCACAGCAAATATCATCAATACGATATTTTTTCAAAATACAACAGCCCTAGTTCTCAAGAACATCGTGGCTTAATTGCTTAATCGATCGGTAAGCACCAGACTTAAAGAGAAAGCTCGTTTAATGGACACCTGTTATAAAAATAATAAAGGATAAAATTTTAATTAATTAGGCTATTTTCATTTACCTGAGTTGGAGGTACGGCATAACAAACATTACTAATTGCGTACAGTGTACTTGAATTTTTTTTTATTCTGTTTATTTTAAACTTTTTTAATTATTCTTAAGTTTACAAAAATAAAAAACTAAATCAAAATTCGTTGGGATAAAATAACATAAAAATATAAAGCCTAGTACTGAGTTGACGAAAATATATCGACATATATTTTTTTTTAATATTATTATCGTGATATTATATTTTTGGGTGTACATATACTGCTTGCCTTTCCAATAAGACAAAACGTCTATGTCAATCCTTTGATAAGAAAGTTTTAGGTTTACAATTTTTGAATACACATCGATTGTACTGTTCACTTCTGATTTAACGCCTTGAGATAAGTACGCTTCTAACAACTCGTCTTCCTCATGAAAAAAATAGTTCTGCATTTCACATATTGCCAGTAGGGTGAAGACTATTAAGTCTATCCCAAATAAATTTTAAATGATTTATTGCGTCATTTTTTTGTTGCGGCGATAATATATGTTAAAAACGTGGATCCAAAAACAAGCAAGAAACTATAAATTTGTTGTTAAACAATAGAATAAATTTGTTGTTCGTTTTTCAATAGAATTTAAAATTGAATTTCCAATACTTTTCGTAAAATTATGATTTGTATCATTTACAAATTTTTCGGTAGATATTTTAAGTTTGAGCCATTGGGCGTAAAAGTTACTGTAATGTAATTGTTCCTCTTGAAATTTTTTTATGGTTTATGTTTTTAACTATTTTATGTTTTTAATAGATTCAATTTTACTTAAAATATCCTTGGCTTCCAACAAGTTGTTTAACATTATGTACGTAGATCTCATCTGGTTGGAAAATCGAATTGTAAGATTTTCAATTTTTTTAATTCAAATATTTCACGATATCCATTGGAGATTTTTCTTATGTATTTTGTTTTGGAAACAAATGATAAAATATTTGTTGTTTTTAGCATATTTGCACCGTTATCAGAAGTTATGGATACGATTTGATTCAAATTAATATTATATTTATTAAGCACTTTCACCACTTCGGCGGCAAGATTTTTGGCTCCTCTTAATCCTGCACCATTCCCAAAATTATTGATTTTATCTCAACCGCGTTTATGTATTGTGCACTAATTTAAAATATATTTCTGGACGATCGGGTTGCACTGTCTATTTTTAAAGATAATAATTTGTTGTTCAGTTAATTTGATATGTGATTCCTTATATTATTTTCCACTACTTTTAAAGTATTTTTGCAGTTTAATGCATTTAATTTCATTATTTGTCTATCCACAGTTTTAAGACCTTCCAAATTGGATCGAGAATATTCCTCATGTTTGGTGAATTTAAAACATTAAAAGGAATGCTGTCTTCCGTTACCAATCCAATGAAGGATCTTAACAGTTGTTTTTTGTTGACTTCAATTATTTTTTTTTTTGCACGGTTTTAATCGAGTAATTTGATGACGATTCAATGTTTTCAAGAGTTGAATTTAATTCAACTTTATGTTGCTTTATTAAATGAGTTTTGAAATTCGACACTCTATTGTTTTTAGGTTTTTTTTTTTTTGCATATACATATTGCATATAGCAAAATCCTCGGCAACTTTATTTTCAAAATATTTCCACACGGCACTTTGCGCCATAGCTGAACACTTGTGAGTCTAGCGGCGTTCTAATTGCAAGTAAAAGAAAAGAGAAAAAAGAACAAGACGGTGACTTTTTCAGAAGAAGAAGCAAAATCATATTAACTGAAATTTGCCGCGGTTTTTTAAACGCTGGTCAGTACATAAATGTTTAAAAACATCAAACTATTTTTAATTTTTCAAAT